CCTTGATAAACAACGCCATGTATTTTTCAACACTCCAAAAAGACGCTCTATAGCGTTACGAGCTTTACAGAGTGCCTCATTGTACCTGTACCTCGCTGTGCCTTCTTGTTCATGTGGTAGCGGGGTCATAAGCCAAGGCTCAAGTGGGTAACCGGAATCGCCTGTAATACATATTACTCTATCACTTTATATATAATTAATAACTTACACCGTTACCAATCAAATAAACTCCACGTTCTCCTCGTTCATATGCAGCGGATGCACTCCATATAAAGGAGTCATGACGTGCTCCGGGACAAAGCGCATTGACATTCAAAATTTTCAAAGTAGGATCACATATCTTCCAAAAAAAAATGCCACATAAGACAAGTACCAGGAAGAAAATAAATTTTGATTGCCTGCCATTTGTACATTAATGGAATGATAGCCGTGATGATTCACATAAGATTCCTCATGCTCGTACGGTCCTCGTATGGCAACATGAGTGCGATCTATTGCCCCTATTGCTTCTGGGGAAGAATGTTGAAAACAAGTCCATTGTTCTATAGCCTCATGCCGTTCTGTTGCCGTCATTGGAAAGCGTACATACTGCCGGAACATTACTCTATTTATGGCATTTGTCACTTTGCGAATACTTCTTGAAATTGAAGGCTGACTCATCGATATTCCCCACTGCTCACCCACGTGCCTCTGGTAACATCCAGTTGCATAAAATCGTAGAGCAGCTAATACCTAAACAATGGTATTTATGGTATTTTTTATTTTTTCATGCCATGCCTGTTTTTCCACTGATATTGCGCTTATACGTGCTCCCTTGATTTCACTATAAATGTGGTCAATTATTGTTTCCGTTGCATCGGGAGTAAGACGATATAGCTTTGCGAACTCTTCCCTTTCCAATAAAAATGGATCTTCAATCTGTCGCAAGTGTGCGCGATCGACTACGCTGTACATTGCCAAGAAACTAAAGGCCATACTATTTATAAGACAAAACAGGTTAAATATAGATATTACTTAATTGTCTTAAACCATTAATTATAAATTACGTATTTATGAATCCTTTAGCGAAAAAACAGTTTCAATTCAAATTTATCTTATATCAACATACATATGAATGTATTTATTTGCCGTTTAATTTATACAAAAACTTAAAAAAACAGTTGTCGAAAAGCGTATCAACACAATTTTTTCCATCGTTAACGTAGCGACGATTATCGGAAAACAAATTTCAAATTTTGCGACAGAAATCGAACGAAAGTTGTTATAGAATAGAACATTCGTAAAATTTGTGGCAAAGTTCCGATATCGACCCGAAAATTGTCGCTAACTGGTTACAGAATAGCACTACAAGTAACCCAGGAGGCTCCACCACAACCTCAAGCTACTGCGGCAGCAGATTTTGTTACATGCGAAACACCTAGACGGACTACACGAAAACGTGAACCTGTGAAGAGATACTCATAGACTAAAAAATAATGCCCCTATTACGGTTTACAACTCAACTCCACTTCAGTTGAAAACTTACAATTTCAAGAATGATAGAATACAAGATTGCGCCGTCCTGGGCGTTGACATTTGTGTCTCACAAGTAAACAAAGAATAGAGCGAAAAGTAGAACGAGTTGAAACTGCCAAAGCAGTTCACTTTACAGCGCAAAACGTGTTTTAATTTTGCTAAATGTGAAAATATTGCATTTTTCACCTAATCTATTAGAGAATAGTGAACATTTTAGTGCACTCCATTGCTTTGCAATTGAGGCTGCTTCAGCAAACGTTTTAGTACACTCGGGATTGATTAGTTAACTTGCTAATGGAAGCTGCGTGGAGCAGAAACAAAATCCTTGTGAGGAAATGCTGTTAATATAATAATAGAGAAACATTTCGGGAACGGATTTGCCGTGCCCTATGTACACAAAATGCAGCGATTCGTCTCAGCGCTACACTTGCATCTACCCTTCTTGCATCTTGACGGCCGTCGCAATATAACACACAGCACTTCATTGAATTAGTTTTTAAGCAGTCTTCAACTAAAAAATCACTTGCAAATTGCAAATTAACACAATAACTGATTTTTCACTTATAATTAAATTTCTCTTTAGCTGATTTGTAAACAAAGGTTTAATTGCAAGTTACCACAACTGTCAAAATCGGCAAAACCAAAGTAGCGGTACCACTGACGGCGCCACCTTTGTTCGCTGCACCGTGTTACAATTTGGTATTATCGATAACAACTCAACCTGTCAAAAAATTTTTGGTTGTATTTATATCTGGGGTGTTCACAGTTCGTTCCAAATAGTGTCTCAAAATGTAGACGTCTACATTTTAAGACGTTTTCTAGCCGTAAAATCTGTGGTGTTGTTGTTTCCCATACAAAATTGGAAAACGACGCTGTCTACATTTTGTCACACTCAAAGGTATGTTATTTACGCGTCTACATTTTGCAACCTCGCAGCAGGGTTGCATTATGGCAATACTAATCACATTTTTTATTTATTGGGCACGTTTTCTGTATTTGCATTTAATTTGAGCGCCATTTCTGATAAAAAGAAACAAATCTAGGAAAAGAAATAACAATTATTGGGAATTGGTAATTAAGTTAAATAATTACAATTTTTCAGAAGCAAAAACGAAAGGCGCCATATAAAAATGCACGCAAAGAATAAATGTCTGGCAACACCAGCAAAGTTTTGAGACGATTTTGCGACGACTGCTAGAGGGGGGTGCTCACAGTTTGATGCTAAAGATGTCTAAAAATGTAGACGTCTACATTTTAAGACACAATTTGGAACGAACTGTGAAAACCCCAATCGTCTTACAACTTTTTTGTGGTATTACCGTTTACCACCCTGTGCTAGTTCGGTTGACAAAAGTATCGAGAGTCGACAACTCATTACTAGCAGTTGTTTTGAAAAAATTTTTAAGCGAAAATGGAAAGCGGGTAATTAAATTTTTTTAATTTGTCTTAAACCAATATCTTAATCAGGAATTTCTTACAAATTTGTAGAAAAAATAAAGTTACAACGACACAACAGTTTGAAAAACTAGTTGAGCTGATGGAGAAGCATCCCGAAACTGGAGGAGGCAAGCCGCAATTTGGAAGCAGCAAAAGTAAAAGCATCCCCAGAGAGTCCCATCGATACAACCCACTACTCCGGGGAATCCGCTTTTTGAAATCACCGAATATAATGAAATTTTTGACGCGTTTTGCTCCTCTTCAGTCATTTGGGTGGTAATCCATTTTCCACAAATATGCTGCTCAATGATATTTAAAACCTCCTTAATAACTACAGATATTGTAGTTTGGCCAGTCCAACATTAAAACCATTTCCACTGGACTTTTGATAACTGCCGTCAGCAAGGAACCTGAGAGTTGCGCATAATTTCAATATGGGAGGTACAGCCGTTCCTCGCACACGTTTCTGGAAATGTTCCTCCATCTCGTTTAGCAAAAAAGGCAAATGCTTCCTTATTTAAACGAAAGTAGCTTATGAATCTCCAAAAAAACATTATTAAAATGCCATTCAATTGTCGCTACGATTTTTCTTACTTGATGCTTGGAAGTTCCAAAGGATTCGAGTGATCACGAAGCCTTTTTCGTATACGCAACACTTTAGTTTTGGGACCAACATTTTCATCGTTGTAAAATAAATCGACGCTTATGTCCATTTTACTTTTTATTTGAAATAAAAAAACACTCGTAAACATTAAGTAAAGTATATTGTTTTAATTTTTCGCCACAAAATCATCACCTGTTTAATTATCTGTCAAATCGTCACTTTTTTAGGTTGGCAACATCAATACAACTTCAACTGAAGTGAGTTGTAATTCGTAATGCCAAAAAAGAGTTAAGTTGTTTTAAAGTTGAGTTGTTTCAATTTCAATTCAACTGACTCGAGTTGTAAACCGTAATAAGGACTTAAAACTCATCTTGGTGGACATCATCATTCAACAGGAGAGGTGTTGGATGAAAATACAACCCTGCTCACGTACAATTAGACATACATTCATCATACATTTATTATGTGACATCAAGATATAACTGTCAAATAGCAAGAGCAACACTTGTTGCGCACGTGTCGAGCAGACAGTTCCTTTCTAGAATCGTTCTTTCCTTTTGTATATTTTATAGTTTAAATAAAGGAGTATACTAACTTTAAAGAAGCGTATCATTATTAAACACCCCAATGAAAACACTTGACAGTTATACCATGTTCTGACCGACAACGAAAACACTTTGAAAACGTGTTTTGGGATTGTGGGCTGAAGGCTGTTCACACCGGCTGTTAGCGTTTTCGTTGACATTTCTTACAACCTCTGATTACAGTTTTGCTAAACAAAAACATAACCAAAATGCTTTTCTTTCATTTTCTTTTCATTAGCAACCTCTTACTTTCAGTCTTATTTTACTTTTGCCAGCCAATTAACAATAAATCCGAAATGACGTATTAAAGATGATAAAATATGACTTCCACTTCGATAAATAATCGAAAAAAAAACTAGTAAAGACACCGATTGGAATGAGGAACGTGGGTTTTCAAGTAGTTTTCAGCGAAAACTGGTTTTCGTTTGACAGATTCTACATGGACGAAAACACAAGTTTTAAGTCGAAAACCAGTTTTAGCAACGAAAACATGTTTTCGATGTCGGTCAGAACATGGTATTATTCATAAACTCAAGGGGTTAAACTCGACTTAGGGCCGGTTACTCAATGTCTGGTTAACACTAATCTCCGGTTCAACATAGTTATCGGCGTTATCGACTCCCTGTTGTATGCATGGAGTCGAAGACGTCGATAATGATGTTTAACCGCAGATTAGTGTTAACCGGACATTGAGTAACCGGCCCTTAATATTTCAACGTGAACATAGTACTAACGGTTATTTTTTACTTGCATGTGTGGCCTTTACGTTATTGCGGTATTATAGAAAAATAAAAGATGGTCAAATATGGTTCTTTATAAATCGATAGTTCAGTCGATTATTTTGCAGGTCCAAAAGTGCATTTATAGTGTTTACTTCTCTAACAGGCGGAAAACAACACGTACTACTGATTCGAAGCCAACTTGGCAACATAAGTTCTTGGTAATGTTGAAAGCCGTAATCTTAGTAGGAGGACCTCAAAAAGGCATGGAATATATAGTTTACAGTTTGAACTGAGTTATATAATTATTTGACTTCATTAGGAACTCGTTTTCGCCCGCTTTCTTTAGACACACCTAAGCCTTTATTTCCAGTTGCCGGACGACCTATCATTCAGCATCACATAGAGGCATGTCTGCGTGTTCCAGAGCTAAAAGAAATTCTAATTATTGGCTATTATTCTCAACTTCAAATGGAGAACTTTGTCAGTGATATGCAAAATCTTTACAATATTAATATAAGGTACCTATCTTCATAACATGCGCTTCGTTTCGTTACGTATCCTGATATTTTATTTTAGATATTTGCAAGAGTTTACTTCATTAGGCACTGCAGGCGGCATGTACCACTTTCGTGATCAAATACGTTCAGGAAATCCTCGTGCTTTTTTTGTACTAAATGGCGACGTATGCGCTGATTTCCCACTGCTAGATTTATATGCATTTCATAGACAGAGAGTCGATACGGCTTTGGTGACCATTATGAGCACTGAGGCAACACGACAACAATCGCTACATTATGGATGCCTGGTATTTGATCGTAATAGCGGTGTTGTATCGCATTATGTAGAGAAGCCTAGTTCATACGTGTCAACCTTTATTAATTGTGGTGTCTACGTGTGCTCCGTAGATATATTTTCTCATCTTGCTGATGTGTTTTATTCGAGGGGTCAGGAATATTTATGCCCGAGTATGACTAATGGAGGAGGTAACGGCAAAGATCAAGGACACATACAATGGGAGCAAGAGGTTTTGACGCCGCTTGCTGGTACTAATAAACTCTATGCAATGCCAGTGCCTAACTGGTGGTCACAATTAAAAACCGCCGGCTCTGCTATTTATGCAAATCGTCATTATTTAGGTATTAAATGTTTTCTTTTTATGCATGAAAAATTTATGTACAATGTATTAATTATAGAACTATACAAAAATACTCATCCGGAAAGGTTAGCCAATTTTGGAGTGAAACGTAATGAGTATGATTCTAATTTAATTTGTACAATATATCCGGACGTTTATGTACATCCGAGTGCTACAGTCCATCATAGTGCAACAGTGAGTTTATGTTCGCTATTGTGAAATAGTTTTAATCGCAAATTATCCAGCTTGGCCCAAATGTATCGATAGGACCGGGTGTGACCATCGGACCCGGCGTTCGAATTCGAGAATCAATAATACTTGAAAATGCAGTCATAAAGGATCATACACTAGTATTGCATTCGATTGGTAAGAAAAAATTTTACACGATTGAATGGTACTCAATATACATTTATCATCTCAATTTTTGTAGTAGGTCGAGGGTCTACTATTGGACAGTGGTCACGAGTAGAAGGCACTCCGTCTGACCCTGATCCAAATAAGCCATTCGCTAAAATGGAAAACCCACCGCTTTTCAACAAGGAGGGCAAACTTAATCCTTCCATAACTATATTGGGTAAGTCTCTACTACATAGATATTGCATTGAATTTTAAACACACATAGCGATTGGAGATAATGATAGTTTTTTTTGGGAATTCTTCAGTATTACTTTCGTACATAGCAAATACCTTGCATAAAAAGTATTTGAAACACAAATATACACTACTTTTCCGAAAAGTATTTAAATACAAAATATGTACGTATTTTGAAAAAAATTTTTAAGATACTTTTGTTTTGAAATCACATGCATTTATCAGTGATCTGCTACGGGTATTGAGCCAACACGTTGCAAAACAACCCAGGTAAGGCAAATATAAGCGAAGCCATTATATCGATTAGGGATGTGCCGGTTATCCGGTAGATATCCGGAATCCGGTATTTTTTCTGTTTATCGAAGATTCTATTTAAAAATCTATTTCAGATTATTTCTTTAATTTCTATACTCAAATTTAATAGTATCTAATTAGAATTGGAGTTAAAAATTTATATATTTTTCTTTATGAAAAGAAGCATTTCCGCATTACCGGTCAAGTTCTATTTTCAACATAAATGCTAAGGTGGTGGAAATTCTTTGCGACTATAATAACAATAGATTGGTGCTTGCACATTTGTTAGTATTTGACCGATTTGTGGCGTGCGCATTGATGTTGTCAAACAAGGGAGCGGACCTACAGTTTTACGTCGACTCCGAACGGCGATTGTATTTTTATGAGAAGCTGTTTTCATGGCAGAAATACACTTGCCATTGCCTGCCGAGGGCGACCGCTATTAGAAAAACTTTTTTTTTTTTTTATGTTGGGTTTAACCGGGCTTGAACCCAGGCTAATCGCTACACCGCAGCGTACAGTGGTCAAATGGAATTTAATGTTGATAATTCACTGGAGTCTTTATTTCTCAACCAATTTGGTAATTTTCTTTTATTAAAAGCTTATAAAATTTGCAAGAAACTGATTGAGTCCGATTTTTGATGTTTTTTTTGTTTGTATTAAATTTTTTAGTGCGAAATGCAGAAAAAGTGGAATAAATTTGTAGACGAATTTCCTAAATATATTGTATGTCAAAATATATTCGAAAGACTAAACTTAAACGTTTTCTAATCCTGCCCAGTTTACTAAGTCCCCATCCTGTTACGAATCGTCGACCAGAACTTCGTTATACCCATATTTACCAAATTTTTATAAACTCGCCTTATTTCATTTTACATAATTTGCACAAATATAAATAAATATATAATATGTATTTAGTTTGCCCGATTTGTAAACAAAGCTTCTCAGCGGTGAAAAATATACTATTGTAAACAACCTAAACGAGAGAAATTCGAAATAGCGCTATTTTTCATCTTCATCATACCAAATGAAAATTCGTTCGATCAACGCTTTCGACTTCAGTCGAAGATCGAATGCATCTCATAATAGGGGCCTATATTTTCGAATTATTTAGTTCACCATCTACCCAGTTTTTAGATTTATTGGTGTCAGAAAAGAAAACGAGTTTTAAAACGTGTGTCACAAAATATGGCAACAATGAAGCCTTACGAGGCGATTCTGGAGCGAAACAATATGTAACCACGCAGTTCGATTTTCATCACACATCACGCATTCCCAAGACAGCCGGTTCCACGTACCGGATTGACTCGGGTTTTACCAATGCAACTCATGTCTTGGCTGGTGTCACTTCCGCCTATGCTCCGGTCTACGCACCACGCGCGAATGGACTGCGAACTACAGTGCCCCATTCTGTAGAGCACCGCTGACACAGACAACAGCGCCCTCATTGCAGGCGCTTACCAACAGGCAGCAACAGCAAGCGCCTCAGATGCAACAGGCCCAAGGTAGACCACACTCCTCCCTCACCCTTGTATCGCGACTAGCCTCCCAAGGCATACGAAACTCCTACAACTCAATTGCAACGGACTACAGAGTAAGATTGAGGAGATAGCAGTCTTTATGGGTCGGCATGGCATATTGATAGCTGCGGTCCAAGAAACGAAGTTGCACAGCAACTCAACTCTGTTGGGTTGCGCCGCCTACAATGTGCTCCGTAACGATCGCGAGATAACGGTGGCGGACTAGCGTTCATCCTACACCACACAGTGCAGTATCGGCTTATCGAAGAAGACATCGACCCGAGGGACCACCCTAGAATGTCAGGGCATAGCTGTTCGGTCAGGCGGTGTCGAGCTCGAAATATTCAACGCCTATATACCCCCTGTCACCTGCTGCCCGGCAGGATATCACCCTGACATAGGTGCGCTACTCAGAGTGAAAACCGGATATCGAATCGCGAGATAACGGTGGCGGACTAGCGTTCCTCCTACACCACACGGTGCAGTATCGGCTTACCGAAGAAGACATCGACCCGAGGGACACCACACTAGAATGTCAGTGCATAGCTGTCCGGTCAGGCGATGTCGAACTCGAAATATTCAACGTCTATATACCCCCTGTCACCTGCTGCCCGGCAGGATATCACCCTGACATAGGTGCGCTACTCAGAGTGAAAACCGAATGGTAGTAGGTGACTTCAACGCGCACCACGATCTCTGGCATTCAAGCCTGCCCAATGATCGTAGGGGAAACCTTTTGGCTGAGCAGATAGACGATTCGACATTCTGCACCATGAACGACGACGGCCCCACCAGGATTATTGGTAGCTGCAGCAGCTCGCCAGACCTCACAATTGCTAGCGCTGGTTTGATCAATAGCATTTCAAGGCGACCTATGCTAACACCAGCATCAGACCATCTACCCATAATCATCTCGATCAATAAGCCCACCGACTTTGCTCCCGCGGACCACCGGACCTATGTCAACTTCAACAAAGCTGATTTGGGACGGCTTCGCAGAAGTTACCGAGTACTGGCAAATGAGCGTGACCACCTACGCCAGGTCGACCCCGGGGATCTCGTCTGACGGACCTTAATTTTGTGATTCGGCAACTGGTAAATCAGCATAAGCGGAAAAAGTGGGAGGAGCACTTGAAGGCCTGTAACTTCACATCTGGTGTGAGTAAGCTCTGGTCAACCGTGAGGTCCCTGTCTAACCCAACGAAGCGTGATGACAGAGTGGAAGACCGAAGAAATGCGCAGCCTACTTTAGAAGGCAATTCACACTGCATCCTTCGGTAGACAGGGCCAAACGTCGAGTGACCAGGAGGCTGCACAAGCTGCCAAAAAACAGTGCACCACTTGTTTTCACCAGCTGTGAAGTGAAGGGGGCCATCGGGAAGCCGAAAGCCTCCAAAGCCATTGGACCCGACGGAATCTGTATGCTGATGCTAAAACATTTAGGGCCTAAGGGAGTAGCTTACCTAACGGAGGTCCTCAACCTGTCTATGGCCACTCTCATCATTCCTGATGTGTGGAAATCAGGGAGAGTGGACCCGCTGCTGAAACCGGGGAACCCCGTCAACAAAGGAGACTCTTATCGCCCGATAACGCTCCTTTCCCCGGTCGCTAAGACACTTGAGGCCCTACTACTCCCATACTTCACCTTCCACCTGACCCCAGCGAAGCACCAGCACGGATTCCGTAAAGTGCACAGCACAACAACAGCACTTAACGCTATAAACACCCAAATAACTCGAGGCCTAAATCGAAACCGCCCCTGTGAGAGAACGGTCCTAGTAGCGCTGGACTTGTCAAAGGCGTTTGACACCGTCTGGCATTCCACGCTACTAGAAGACATCGAGGCCTCCTCACTCCCACAGGGACTGATGCGATGGTCGGCGAATTATATAAGTGGTCGACAGTAATCTTCCGAGATCAAACCTCGAAACCAAGAAGGATTAAACAAGGGGTTCCACAAGGTGGTGTTCTCTCCCCCTTACTATTTAACTTCTACATCTCGAAGCTTCCTCAACCACCTGAGGGAGTTTCCCTGATCTCATACGCTGACGATTGCTCGAATTTTGCATCCGGGTATGGAATTGATGAGCTCTGGTCAAAAGTAAACGACTATCTCTCCAGCCTTTCTCGCTTCTTCACTGCAAGGAGCCTAACACCCTTCCCAACGAAATCAACGGCGACCCTCTTCACCACCTGGACGAAGGAGGTCAGGCTAGAATTAGGTATACACGTCAATGGCACACCAATACCAACTGTAAACATCCCGAAAATTTAGCGGTCACCTTCGATAGCCTGCTCTCCCACTCCACGCACACAACCGCAGTTGTCAGTACAGAGCCGCAACAAGGTCCGGCCGGTTCTAAACTATGCTGCGCCAGTTTGGACGCCGGGGACTAGTTGAACGAAGTGGACGAAGCTACAGACTTGTCAGAACGCCGCACTCCGGACGGCGACTGGGTGCCTTCTGATAACGCCTGAGCACCACCTACACAGCGAGGCCCAAGTACTCCCCGTAAGGGAACACAACAAAATGCTTTGTAAGCAATTTCTGGTGGGGTGTCACAGAAGTGAACATCCAAACAGACCTTTGCTTCAGGAGGAGCCTCCGCCCAGGCACGTCTGGGGGCACCTATTAGTATACAAGGACGCAGTCCAACAATACGTAGACCAACCACTGAACCCGACGACATACAGACGAGCCATCAACGACATCCATAGAGAGTCAGTTACCACCTACCCCGACTCTCGACCTATGAATGCCGTAATAGGAGCCCAATCACCACCTGTAGAAGAGACGGAGCTGCAATTGCCAAGAGAGACCCGCGTTACCCTGGGTCAATAACGGTCTGGATACTGTAGCCGCCTCAACAGCTACCGGTCCAGACTCGACCCCAATATCCCCAACGAGTGCCCGGCATGTGGAGAATGCCCCACGACACCAACCACCTCTTTACATGCCAGCTCAATCCGACTCAGCTAACACCCCTCTCCTTCTGGTCCGAACCCATTGAAACAGCTCGTTTCCTGGGCCTCCCGTTAGTTGAGCTTGACGAAAATGATTGAACGTAGGCCCGAAAAAAGCGGGGCTTAGTAGTGCCGCTACAACAACATTTTCATCACATTTTATAATGAAAAAAATCAATCACGCATTTTTTCTTAGCGGCGTTCA